CTGATGTAACAAAATATGTCTGGGGCACTGTGAGACATCAATTGTTTATTTATTTTTGGGATTGTAGCCATTATGTTGTCCCTAACAGGTGCATAATTAGAGCTCTCAAGTGCAGGTGTACTCACTGGTCGCACGGCTTTCTTGCCAGTATGAATTGTTTCTAAGGTAGATGAATGTTGAATGCCTTATGTTCTTGATAGAGCATCATCAAGCCCATCATGTGCGAGTGGGAGATGTTATATTTCGTCGGTCCGCTCATGATGTGTGTGTCCAAGGGACACCATTTGCTCTAATAAGAGGTGTGTCTGAGAGACACCTTTTGAAGAGGTGCGAGGAGAGTTTCTTAATGAAAGTTAAAATAACTTCTTCAGTAGATGAACAATATACAAGAGAAATTCAAAACTCTCTCTCTCGACGCATTAGGATTCCGTATCTACTTTAAGAAGACAATCGGCATTAACGCTGTGGAACAAGAATACTTTCCTTGTGATTGTATTCAGACCAACGTGTAGTAGATTCGTTCATCATTTGCTGGTGATTTAACGTACGATCCTGGAAATTTTGTTTTGGAGTGCATCGAACAGGTTAGTCGATTCTCCCGACACACGCTTCCAACATCATCTAATATGGTTTGTTGGCATCAGAACAATGTGAACGTGACGAGATATTAAATTACTTTCAAGATCATTAGTTTATCTACCTTCCAAGCCAACGTCTTAAATCTATCGATTATTATATGGACTTACTGACTTTTATTTAAGTGATATATCACTTTCTTCCATTTAAGTTACCAATTAGTTTTGGGACGATGATTCTCGTATGAGTTTCTTATTACCAATGTTTATGTGCTTTTTAAAATATATCAAAATTTCTATTGAGTTACTAATTTTATTTGTCTTATTTCCTGAAATTTTAAATTAACTAATGATTTTAGAAATTATCGACCTTAAGTAGAATGATACCAATTTTTCTCCGACTAAGTTATTAAATAATTCTGTGCTACTAATTCATATTTGAATTAGTTGCCAATGTTTCTTTGTTTTGTTTAAAAGTATTGACTTCGCTTATCTCTAACAAAAAAAAAAATTTCCGTTATTTGTTATCAACTTTTATCTACTTTGCACCAACATCTTAAATTTATCATCTCTTCTATGAAATCATCAACCTTTATTTTGTATGATTTACAAACTTTATTTGATTAATTTACCAATTATTTTGGGTTACTAAATTTCATACGAGTTACTTGCCAACATTTATTTATTTTTTACTTAAATTTACTAACCTTTCTATTAGACGCCGGCCGTCCTACATGATATTGCTGGTGCTGACGTGGATAATTTTTAATAATATTAAAATATTTTTTCGAATTTGTTTATTAATTTTTTCCCTTTTTCCCTCCTCTAGCCTTAGGCGAGGGTAGCCAAGAGTCAACGAGGTGGCCCTTACCAAGCCAAAGAGGGCAGCCTTTTGCTAAATTTGGGCTGGTGAAGGGCAGCCCTTGCCCGAGACCGGCAGAGGGAAAAAAAAAAGAAAAAGGTAAAGAAGGAAAAGAGAAGAAAAGAAATAAAGGAAAAAATAAAAAAATAAAAAAACTTGAAAATATTAAAATATTATTAAAATTGTTCACGTTAGCGTTTTCTAGCCAAAATTGGTTGGATAAGCTTAATTAGCAAAACGTGAAAATGTTAGCACTCAATTGACAGAATTAAAAAGTTTATGACTAAATTGGCAAAAGTACAATATGTTCAGAATTTTTTGGAATTAAAATTGTTACTCACTTTTCTTCGATCAAGTTGTCAATTAGTTTTTTTTTTTACAATTTGAGTTAGTCATCAATGTTTAATTGATTTTTTTAAGTATCAACTTTTCCTATTTATGACAAAAAAAAACACATCCTTTATCATTTTTAGACTTTTATTTGCTTTTCTTACCACAAAAATAAATTTTACTAGCCATTAAATAGAACTACCAATCTTTTTAAAGCGACATATCACTTTTCTCAAATTAAGTTGTCAACTAGTTTTGGGATACAAATTCTCATTCGAGTTTCCTATTACCTACATTTATTTGTTCTTAAAATTAACCAAATCTTCTGTTGAGTTACCACTTTTATTTGCCTTACTTGCCGACATTTTAAATTTGTCAACTCTTTTTAGAAATTACTAACCTCAATTAAAGTGATCACCAACTTTTCTTTGATTAAATTGCCAACTAATTTTGCATTATCACCTCCTTTCGAGTTAGTTACTGATGCTTATTTGTTTTTTTTTTCCAATATCAAATTCAATTTTCTCTAATAAATGAAAAAAATTCTCTTATAGGTTACTTGCTATTGTCCATTGTTCTTACTGTTGGTGTAATTTACTAACTATTATATGAAATTGTCAATTTTTATTTGTGTGACTTACCAATTTTTTCTTTAGTTAAGTTATCAACTAGTTTTGGATTACCAACTTTCATTTAAGTTTCTTAACAACATGCATTTTTAAATTTACTAACATTTCTATGGAGTTACCACTTTTATTTGCCTAACTTAACAACTTTTCAAGTTTACTAACTTTTTTAGAAGTCACCGGTCTCAATTAGAGTGATTACCAACATTTTTCCGGTCAAGTTATTAACTCTAATTTGAGTTAGTTGTCAATGTTTATTTGGTTTTATCTTTTGTGATATAACCTATTTCTCTTATCTCTAACAAAAAAAAATTCTCTTATGTCTTACCAAATTTTATTTACCTTTCTTACACTTGAAATTTACCTACCATAGAATTATCAACATTTTTGTGTTACTTCAACTTTCTCCGATTAAATTTACCAAATAGTTTTAGGTCTCCAACTGTTGTTTCGGTTGCTTATCAACGTTTCATTTTTTTAATAATTTATTATTATTTTATAATATATCACTTGTCCTATTGAATTGTCATTTTTATTTGTCTAATTTATCAACCATTTTCTACGACCAAATTACAATATAATTTTGCATTAATAACTCTTGTTTGAGTTATCTATGAACGTTGATTTGGTTTCTTTTGAATTACCAACTTCTCTTATCTCTGAAAAAAAAAAGCTCATCTTATAATTACCAACTTTTATCAAACTCTTTTTTATCAATACCTTAAATTTCTAACTATTATGTGAATTCTCCTATCTTTATTTGGTGACGTACCAAAATTTTTCCTTAGTAAGTAACCTAATAGAACAGTTGGATGTTGGAAAAAAAATATAAACACATTAGTAACAAATTCATATGAGAGTTGGTAACTCGGGACTAGTTGATAACTCACTTAAATTTAAGTTAGTAATTTTATATAAATATTGGAAAATTTAAGGTTAATAAAAGTTGGTTAAAGAAAGAAAAATGGTACTTAAAAAGAACTTAGTAGATAACTCGAATAAAAGTTAGTAATTCAAAATTAGTTGGATAATTTATTCAGAGAGAAGTTGACAAGTCACTTTGTTAAAATTGATAATTTCTAAAAAAATGTTAGTAAATTTAAGGTGTTGTAAAAAATACAAAGAAAATTTTGTAAACCATTAGAATACTTGAAAATTATAAAAATGAACTATATGTCAATAAGCAACTTAAAATAACGAGAGTTGGTAAACAATACGGGGTGATATTTTAATAGGATTAAAATTGTTAACCAATACTATATGATAATTTAATAGGATAAAAGTTGGTGATCGTGCCAATTCAAGTTAGATTAATAATTATTAGAAAAAGTTACGAAATAAAAAGGGCATACTCGAGACAAATATCTATCCCATTAAAGATGATAAATAAAGAAACAATTAAAAATTGATTAGTAACTAAAATAAGAGTAAATAAACCTAAAATTGAAAATAAATAAATTGAAAACTCCATAAAATAATTAATAAATTAAAAAATAAAATTGATAGATAACTAAAATGAGAATTGCTAACCCAAAACTAGACGGTGATTAAGTTGATAAAAGTAGATAAATCACTTCATTTTACACTATCTTTGGTATAAATTCCAAAAATTCAAAAGCGTTGACAAGTTACATAAATAATACTTTATCAATTAGTACAAAAATTGCAATTTGCACACTGTAAAAAGAGTTCATAATGTCATTTACTAGTTATATTTCTTAGCAAAAATTTTCGATACTTACTAGCACCAATTGAAATTCACTGGCACTGGAAAAGTTCATATATTTTGACATAAAACAATAGAATTCTACCACACAAGAAAAATTTGTATATTTTGACATAAAACAATAGAATTCTACCACACGTAGATTACTTAACAGCAATCCCTTTTTGTAAGTCCAAGTAACATCTGAAATAAGATCATAGCTGAAGGTTAAAGGATAAAAAAAGAACAAAAAATGTCCTAAACCTATTGCATTAGTATAATTCAATCATTTGGATCAATTTAGTTTTAAACCTTTTGTATTTGTGATAATTTAGTCCATTCAAGTTACAAGTTGAAAATCGCTAACATGTATGCCAGTGATTTTTTTGATGTTTTTAATTTTTTTTCCCTGACCATGGATCAGCTTTGCCAAATCTGGCAATTAGTACAAATATAAAAAGTTTAGGACTAAATTGATCAAATTAAAATGTGTATAAGTGAGTTGATACTAATGCAATAAATTTAAAACTTTTTTTTGGTACTTTTCCCTTAAAAGGGGCGAATTATAGCTAACTCCTAGGTTAAACTTCCATACATATTTATCCGGCTTTTACACAAAACCATTGTAAGGTACGAATTATTGCTTAACTCATAGGTTAAACTTCCATACATAATTATCCCGCATTTACACAAAACCATTACAAGGCACGAATTATTGCTTAACTCATAGGTTAAACTTCCTTACATATTTATCCCGCATTTACACAAAACCATACTAGCTTCCAGTCACTTGGCGGTCCGTAGTCCCTCTCGTACGAGGACATACACATTATTTCAAATTTACCTTTACTTTCATGTTGCTCGACTTAAGCTTTGCCTTTAGTACAGTTGGTACGACAACCTCAATCCTCCATTCCTCTTTGTGATGACCTAGACCGCGGGCTCAACACCGCGAACTCCTCCCTCGCGTACTTCAACCTCCGGGCCTCCTCCCTCGGGATGTCGTACGAGTTCATCACCACCTTCCCTGGCAGGCCCCGGATCACCGACAGCCGCCCTGCCAGCGAGCTGATCATCGCGTTATCGTTGGTCCGGAAGGAGACGTACTTGAACCCTTCTGAGCTCGCCTTCTTCACCACCGCAAAGTTCTGGGGCACCACCAGAAGCTGGCCCTCCTCGAGCCACCCGTCGAAGACTGTATTCGCCGAGTCATCGACAATCTGGATCCTACCGTCGCCCGACGTAGATCACACCGTGGCAGTTCATGTAGTAGTGTGGCGCCACAAGAGCATGCTGCAAATAATTAGTCAGTGGGCAAAAATGTCTATATAAATATCACTATGAGTGGATATAAGGAGCACCACACATAAATTACTTTCCTCTAATTCATTAAGACTCAATGTCAAACTATATATGTTTCCTCTAATTCTCATTATTAGGGTTGGGTATTGCGGCCCATCCAATCTCTAATTAATTAATACTCGAACACCAAATCACTGACTCAGGAAACAAAGGCGACAATCCTCTCTGAACCTGAGAAATGCATGCGCGTTTGATCAGTTGTAGTGAGCAAATTTTATCAGTAAACCATAGTATGTGTACTGAAAATTTTGTTTAGCAGTTCAAATCAGGTTCAGATTCATTTCAATACGCGAATCAGATTCGTTGAATAACATTTGGTAGTAGTATACATTCAAGAGCGTCTTTCTTGTAAACTTACCCTGTAAAGAACAGCCCTCTCAGCACTGAGTCCAATGAAGCTGAGAATAGGAAGACTGAAGCTGGTGAGCGTGGTGAACCGCCCTCCGCGAGGGTCGTAGATGTCGGCCTTCTCGGGTTTGTTTATGTTCTCTCTCAGCCTGATGGTGCAAAGCGTCTCCTCCAAGCCATGATCTCTCATCCCTCTCCCTCCTCTCCTCCCGCCCTCTCTCTCCCTCCCCCACTCGCTCTCTCCCTCTTGCTCGCCTTCTCGGTATCGTGGGCTTATTATTTGGAGCTCATTCTGGACCTCGACGATGTGGCCCCGCTGGTCGTCTGGGCACTTGAGCTTTTGGGCAAGCTCGGTGTCGATGGAAAAAGGACTCGCTGAGGATTTGCTCGTCAAAGCCGCTGAAGATGTTGTCGAAGCTCTCTTGCTGGCTGCTGCCCCCTCTTCTTCTTGGCCCCCAGCTTCGACTGCTGCTGCCTTGTTGCCTGCCTTGTTGCGGGTCTCCAGCGAGGAAGAATTTCTAAAAACATATGTGAAAATAAACATTGTTGAAATAATTTTCGTTATATCAAAAAAGTGTGCCAAAGACTCTTCTTTGAGTATCCGATATGCACGGCGGATATAAAATATCAGGTAAGTTACAAAAGACATGCAAATCTGCATACCCCCAAATGTTACATTATTAAGAGTCATCTGTGGACGACTTCAATGTAGTATAGGATGTAAATTCCGTTAATTTACCTAAGAGTTCTCTTGCTACATGATGCACTAGAATGCATGTCACATGCATCGAACCTCTTTCGAGCTAAAATTGCTCATATCTCAGAACATTCTAAACTTGCATATGCATAGAAAAACAAAATTAGCTTGCACGAGACACATGCATTACAATCACATTATTAGCCTTATATAGCGCGGACATTTGTTGTAGCTTATTTTAGATAAGCATCAAAGTCCTCGTTACGTTTGTTTCCCTTCCCCTGAAGCTCTGGTCGAGCTGGTTCTCTTGGTTGCTGAGGTCAACGACAGAGACTATTACAAGATCGGACTGGCCTTGGTTGTAAATCCAGTGGGTCGCTCCGGCCGGCATCGCGAGTATGTTGCCTTCAAGGATCTGCCGGACCTTCTGGTGCCGATCTTGGGTCCTCTCGCCCCTCATTTGCCCTCCATCCTCGACTGTGAATATTGTGATCCCACGGGCGATTGGTACGTCTCGGGACATCCCGGGAACACTACTCCTTGGGTTCCCATTCCTAGGACATGGTGTCTTATTGATTTAGATGGATAACTATGAGAAAGAGAACTAATAAAAAAAATGAGAAATTTTTGCTTTATCGACTGAACTATTTCCAATCTAGTTTTTGGTAATTAGTGTCACAATTTTTCTGGACTGAGTTTCATTCTGCAAAAAGCTAATGCGACACTAAATACATCACAAATTTGTCCAGCAAATTATAAAATGGTCACATGCGCGCACAATCAAAGTAAAAATAAACCGATAAAACCATACTCTATGTTGCATGCATGCCGTCTTTCGGATGGTTCCCACAGAAAAAAATGTATTTTACCTTGTACGACATACATAAGCTCCGGCGCATTAGTGAACGCCGGCAAAAAGAGCCCCCACTGCCGGATGATGTGGCGGACCACTGCCACACCGGCGCACTAGAGCTGGTCCTCGTCCTCGTCCCACAGCTCGGAGACCCCAGCCTCAGCCTCGATCCGACGGCTCGGCTCGAGCGTGTCGAGCCTCACGATCCAGCACTCCCCACCCCGGAACCGGCTCGGTCGCTGGCCCCGCGACGTCACCTGCTCCATCTGGGCATAGCACGAGGCGTATTGCAAGAGAAGCACAAAGGCAAGAACAGTCATCGTCTTCGTCGCCATGGCTTTTAGAGAGAGAGAATTTGCAGTGACGAGTTTGGAGTCTTATGGGGTTATTATTTATAGCAGAGAGATTTCAAGACGTGGCGAGAGGTTGGTGAGATGGAGATTAATCAGGGTTTGCATGTGGATGGGTCTTGGCTCGTTTACACCTAAGGTTTGAGGTTGTGATATGTGGCAGCGATGCTCTGAGAAGTGCACGCATTTATGGCTTGGCCTCGTTCGTATGAATGTACGTACATATACGCTTTTGCTTTCGCATACATGTCCGCAAGTTATTTCCAACCGTATCTCGGACAACATTTTAGTTCATCAAATATCACATGGTGAATTTCTCGTCTCCCGCTAGAGAATCGGATGAGTCATAATCATTTAATCTTATTCCGACAAAAAAAAAATCTTATGGATCTCATGCAAGCTTCATCTAAAGATCTCGCACAATCGTTAGCTAGAATCACACTCGATCTGTTGATTCGAGTTTAGGTAGAGATTTTCTCGTACAGTAGATGCAAAGAATATATAGTTATATTATCGTAAATTGATCTATGAACATGGTAATTCGATCTGACCCGACTCGATCCGGCTAATTACTATCTCCACACCGAAGTATTGATCTGAAATCCAACCACATGGATGTGAAAATGGTAAGAAATTCACTTAGCAGGAGGATAAGTACAAGGACTTCCCACACGTGGAAGCAAACAAGGAAGCGCGCCAATGTCTCACTCCCCCTTCTTTTGAGCTACAAACCTTCCTAAACTCACTCTCTCTCTTTCCTTCCTAAACTCTCTCTCTCTCTCTCTCTCTCTCTCTCTCTCATTTGTGTCTAGCTTCCATTTTGAAAGAAAATTTTTCTCTTTTCTGCTGACATACTCAGAAGGGCCATTGGAGAAAAGAGAAAATCTTATCCCTAAACACTTTTCTGGGTACTCTTGATCGTTGGGAGTCAATCGTTCTTGATGCAGCAGAATCGTCCATCATTTCAATACTCGTTTTTGTGGGTGATCAAGAATCTTGGCAACTTTCTATGAGAGGCCAAAGTGCACGAGACATATGCATCTATGAGGACTAGATCGCCGAAGCCGCCGCACCTGATGCAGTTGTTGTCGCACTCGCCCCTCCGACGGTTTCCTCGCGGTTGTTTCAGATGGAATGGCAGATCCTGTTAATTATGGCAACCCGGAGCGCGACATCGAGCAAGTGGGTCCTCTCACTTTTCCTCATCAATGGCACATTATTCGGTTGATGTTGATGTCTTCCTCAAAATTCTGATTAACAAATTCGTGTCGTCTTTCCAATTGTTTCTCCGATGAATTTATCATAAGTAGGCAAATCAGATGGATTTCAATGGCTTTTCATGTTCCAGAATGTGGAATGAGTTCTATCTCTAGCTTTCTTTTTCGGTCCTGCCCTGTATAATTATAGCACAATTCATGATCGACATCGGCGAGCATATTTGAGAAGCATTTCTTGGGAGAACTTGCAAGTGAAATAGGAATTTTGTGCAGAGAAAACCTGATTTATGAACTTCGTTATCAAGAATTCGGGTACAAGTTTGACGGCTGATTTCATATTGAAGCTCTTTCCAGTTTGGTATAAACAGAAAGTTCATGTCATAATGAACGCCAAATTACTCTGTAAAAGCGAAGTTTTCGCTCTTCGTGTGACGGACAACATCAATATTTTCCTATGTGAAATATGTTGCGTGATGTGAGAAATTCTTTTGCTGGTGATGCTCCTCAGAGTTGAACTTATTTCTGTTTCTCCTTTTTGAAGGCACTCACTGCTTTGAAAAAAGGTAGTCAATTAATCAAGTACAGCCGAAAGGGAAAGCCAAAGTTATGCCCGTTTAGAATTTCACCGGTGAGTCAGTCGGATTCTGGGCAATTTCTTCTGGCATGATGATTTCTTAGTGATGACTTCATATAATTGTTTCAAAATTATCCCAAGATGATGTTCTCTCCGAAATGATTCTGAACTGTGTCAACAATATAGCAGAGAAAAAGGAAAACTGGTATGGTAGTGATCTTGCTTTTGCTAATGGCATGTTCAGACAATCTTATTGACATGTATGTCCTAAGGTCACGCGTGTAATTATGCCACATGCCACAGTTAGATGCTATTATACGGTTAATCAGCATTAGCTATAAGTTCTTGAAGGTACCTGCGAGGTCAAATAGACGAATAATTTGCAGCTTTACTGCTGAGCAGGACGAAACAACTTTGATCTGGTACTCGCATGGAGAGGAAAGGACTCTGAAATTGGCTTCAGTTTCACGAATAATTCCAGGACAGAGAACTGTGAGTTAACTTTGTATCTTAGCTCAACCACAAAATGGACAGCTTAAGAATTATGTTCACTTGGTTCAGAGATTTTTCGATGTTCAATCACTAATCAAATTGGTTCCCATGTGATATCTTGTAGGCTGTTTTCAGAAGGTACTTGCGCCCGGAGAAGGATTACTTATCGTTCTCACTTCTATATAATAACGGTGAAAGATCTCTCGATTTGGTTAGTCATTCACGCCCAATTATAACATCAAAGCAACTACTTTTTAATCACTTCCAATTGAGCTTTAATCTAATGGCGACAATTATGCCTATGTTGTTGATCGTAGATCTGTAAGGACAAAGTTGAGGCAGAGGTGTGGTTATCTGGACTTAATGCGATAATCCCCACAGGACAACAGCGTAGGCGCACCCGAAGTGAAATCCCAGATGTGAGAACATATACATGTGAATGAAAATTTCTCCTAGTGCCATTTTATTATCCTTAATCTCGCCTTTTTTGACTCTGCAGTTGCATAACGGCGGCGAATTTGGTCCAAGTGGTAGACCATTTGGCGCAACATTCGAGTACACTTCGAGTATTACTCGTGGTAGAGTCTCTGTTGAGCTGAATCCTCGTGAATCTTCCGTGAGTTTGGCGAGCTCAGATGTGGGTTCTGAACGTGCAAATATGCAATTGAGAACAAGTACAGGAGATGGTTTCAGAATTAGTGTTTCGAGCACTCCTAGCTGTTCAAGCGGCGGGTCTGGACAAGATGATATTGAGTCACTAGGAGACGTTTATGTCTGGGGAGAGATTTGGAGCGACGGGCCCGATCACGGATCCACGAGTTCCCCGAGGAAAATCGATGTCCTGATTCCTCGACCATTAGAATCAAATGTAGTACTTGATGTTCATCAGATTGCTTGCGGGACACGCCATCTGGCCCTTGTCACAAGGCAAGGTGAGGTTTTCACATGGGGTGAGGAATCTGGGGGAAGGCTTGGTCATGGGAGTGAGAGGGATTTTAGCCGTCCCCATCTCGTCGAATTTCTAGCAGTCACGAATGTGGACTCTATCGCCTGCGGCGAGTATCACACGTGTGCAGTGTCTACCTCAGGCGATCTCTTCAGTTGGGGCGATGGGACTCACAATGCGGGGCTTCTTGGTCATGGCACTCACGTTAGCCATTGGTTACCAAAAAGAGTGTCCGGCATAATGGAAGGAGTTCAAGTCCTGTCGGTCGCATGCGGAACCTGGCACACGGCGCTAGCAACTTCCAGCGGAAAGTTGTATACCTTTGGCGACGGGACATTTGGCGTGTTAGGCCACGGGGATCGCGAGAGCGTCCCTTATCCTAAAGAGGTTCAACTTCTGAGCGGATTGAAGACCATCAAGGTCGCTTGTGGGTTGTGGCACACCGCGGCAATCGTGGAAGTGATGATGAGCCAGTCATCCGGCGGCAACATCTCGTCAAGGAAGTTGTTCACATGGGGAGATGGCGACAAATACCGTTTGGGACATGGAAACAAGGACACTTACTTGCTCCCTACTTGTGTCTCCGCGCTCATCGATTATAACTTCCACCAACTAGCGTGCGGGCACACAATGACCATTGCCCTAACTACATCGGGCCATGTATTCACCATGGGAAGCACGTCGTACGGCCAGTTGGGGAATCCGAATTCGGAAGGGAAGGTGCCTTGCCTAGTGCAAGACAGATTAGTGGGCGAGTTTGTCGAAGAGATCTCCTGTGGGGCATTTCATGCGGCCGTCTTGACTTCGAGAAGCGAAGTGTACACTTGGGGAAGAGGCGCTAATGGTCAATTGGGTCACGGGGACATCGACGATCGCAAAATCCCCACCATGGTCGAAGCGCTTAGGGATCGGCACGTGAAGAACATATCGTGCGGCTCGAATTTCACAGCCAGCATATGCATCCACAAATGGGTATCCGGAGCGGATCAATCTGTGTGCACCGGCTGTCGTCAAGCGTTCGGTTTCACTAGGAAAAGACACAACTGCTATAACTGTGGCTTGGTCCATTGTCACGCTTGCAGTTCAAAGAAGGCATTGAAGGCAGCATTAGCACCTACTCCGGGAAAGCCACATCGGGTTTGCGACGCGTGTTATGCAAAACTAAAAGCTGCCGAAAGTGGCAGCATGTCCTATATGAAAGGAAAAGCCAACACCATGCGACAGTCAATCGATTCTCGGGAGAAAATGGACAGGGCTGCTGTAAAGTCCTCGAGAATCCTGCTTTCTCCAACCATCGAACCGGTCAAGTACATCGAAGTGAAACCAGGGAAACCGGGAGCTAAAGCCGAGCCCTCCGTGGTACGAGCTTCCCAAGTCCCATCGCTCTTGCAATTGAAAGATATCGCATTCCCCAGTTCACTGAGCGCTCTGCAAAGTGCTCTAAAACCGGTGGCTACTAATTATACGCTCCCTCAGTCCGCCCCCAACTCCAGACCCGCTTCGCCATACTCAAGGAGACCAAGCCCTCCGCGATCCACAACGCCCGTTTTTTCTAGAAGCGTGATCGACAGCCTCAGTAAAACAAATGAATACTTGAATCAAGAAATAACAAAGCTACAGAATCAGGTATGCCAAACAAATACAGAACACAATAATGCCAAATTGTTTCCCACAATCTGTAATGTTGTTCTTCTTTTGTGCTCCTTCAGGTTAGAACTTTAAAACAAAGGTGTGATTTACAAGACATGGAGATAAAGAAACTGCATAAAGATGCGGAAGGAGCTGCTCTTAAGGCTGAGCAAGAGTCTTCTCAATGTACCAAAGCCAAGGAAGTTGTCAATTCTGTCGCAACTCAGGTACGCACAAAATCATGTGCTTCACAGTACTTCAGAAAGAAAGTATCCATCTTATTCCTGGTCTTTGTGTGTGTTCACGACATGAATTGGTATTCATAAAGAAAGCGTTGAAGCGGAATGTATCTATTTATCAGATGTGAAACTTAATTCCACTAACATGGATTCCTTTACCAATTTCAGTTGAAGGACATAATGGAGAATCTACAGCCCAAGTCTCACAACAACGAGAAGTTCAACACGCTGTATGCTCAGGTCGAGACGTTTCTTAATACCGACACCATGCCCGAGAGTTCACGTTCCTCGTCGGTAAATGTGGACAATGATCGGAATCAATTAAGCATAGATCAAGCCGATATAGTGGGTGTGAATGACTCTTTGACTGATAATCAGACTGGCACAAATGAGGATACTGGTGCCTCGTCGATGCAAGGAGCCATACCTCAACAGAACACGGAGATCGGCTCAAACTCCAACTCTTCCTCGGTCATGAGGAAAGATGGGCTCTCGCAAGTAATTGAACAATTCGAACCTGGTGTCTACATTACTGTCGATGCTCTTCCTAATGGTGTCAAGGCCTTCAAGCGCGTCCGATTCAGGTGCAAATATATATTTCTTGTTCTTAATCAGATTTCCGTGTTGCCAAATACCTAGGATCATTCTAATTTGAATTCTCAAGATAATGAAAAATAAATCTAATTTATCGTGTTTCGGTCTACTAATAGTTCCCTTCTTATGAAATTTTTACCATTTAAACACAATCATCTCTGTTACAGCAAAAGGAGATTTGCTGAGCAGCAAGCAGAAGAATGGTGGAACCAAAACAAAGATAGGGTGTTCAAGAAGTACCCGCCATTGATGACAAGCATTAGCCAGGCAGGAACATCTAGCAATCCATCAAATGCCGGAGAAAATAACGACGTGGCTCAATCTTCAGAATATTGATTCACTTATGTTCCTTTTTCTTTTCCTTGGTACTATAGGATGCTGATATTAATTCAGGATTAGCTTGTAGAGGAAAAAAAGAGAATCCGAAATATATTAGGCAACAAGCACAGTGCATCCCTGAAGTAGTTTGACCCTGAATTATGAACATGGGTTGATAGAGAATTAAAAGATAGATACTCTCAGAAATAGCACGTCTTGAAGTTTCTTCAACATTTAGCTGTTGAACCCTTTGTCTGGGTTTGGCCTTTTTCCCCCCTTCTTGTGTGCGTTTTTATAGTTGTAATTGTAGGTATAAAAAATTGTAATTTTGTGAAGGTACCACCTGCAATATCTCTTGTTATGTTAGCATCTTTTCATTTTATTTTTTGTTCAAATCAAATGGGAATAAGGTACTTTCCCAACTTAACTGTTCTACAGCATGTTCATTATTGGTGAACACATACAACTTCAAAATCTGTCAAATTAGCATTAGCGGAATACTAGGGTGCTTTTCTTTGTCCTTCTAAGAGAATACTGCACAAGAAAAATGGAAAATACAAGAACTCCGACGTTGCTATTCAACTGAAAATTTCATTATTAATTAGCTATGCTCAAAAGAGGCAAACCAGTTCATTCACATCACCCCAAAAGAATGCCTTTTGCGGGTATTTTTATTTTTTCATACAAATTCACTCTTATTTAATTAGAAGAAGTTCGAGAATACACTCCATGGGTTTCGGAACATAGTAAATCCAAAAGATCTGGGGGATAAAGAACCTAGTTACTCGATAGGCTATTTCTTCTTCGAGTTTTAACAACCCAATCAACCACCTTATTTGCTTCTCTATTGCTATGGGCTTTTTACGGGTATTTATGCAGGAAATAGGAGTTATGAAAATATGGATACCCAGCAAAAAGGGAGTAATCAATCCTAATATCAAATCCCTTTTCCTTCACACGCACAAAATATCATAGTTTTCCATTGACATGAAAACTTATATATCATACTTTTGCAGGTTACTCCATAGACCTTCAAATTGCCGGCCCTCAGTGCCCGTGCCCCTGGATCATTAAAAAAGAAACCCTCTGATAGAAGAACGAGTCCAACACAAAGAAATAAGAACAAACGCTGCCGTTCAGGGCGACCGCATCTCTAAATACTCCGGAAACGTGCCATGAGCGGCCGCACGAGAGGCACTGTCCTGAGGCCCCGTGCGTGAACCGTGGTCCACAAGATCGGTTATTCCAGATGCATTTAGTTATGCGAACATATAAACATGGTATAATTCCTCTGCGACATACTTTTAACCCCCTCCCAACATAACATCACATGCAGAGACAGTACTAGGTTGGCCCCTCTTGTAGGTTTTAGTCCTTCCCATGGAATCATATCATATAAAATCCTCGAACTTGTAGCACTAAAATATGAAAATCCGTGCTGTAAAGCCTGTTGGGCTTCGCTCGGTAGGAGCCAGTCGCCGAATTCGATTGTGACATTGTCAAAAAGGCACCAAACTGTGTTTGCAGCTTCATCTCGGGCCAACAAATGCCAACCCTTTGAAACATTGGGCATCGGTAAAGCCCCTCCAATCGGATCTAGGCTTTAGAAAATCAAGGCTTCATGTAGCTACAGAAACCTGCATTAAAGCGAGTTTCTGTATACGAAATGGGGAAGACAGTCGTTTCATCGTACGCCAATGAATGCTGTTTGGCACGCATTCCTTGGACAACTTTGAAAGTGTTGGTTAAAAGATTATTATTTCTTGTTCCGGGTTATGCTTCTCCTGATGATAACCAATCAGTGCAAGAGGACGGTTTGGTTTTGATCTCTCTCTGTCGTCCCTTTTTTCATCTTTGTCTCTTTCTTTTTTCCGAGTTGTACGGCTTGCCGGACAATAGATTATTCGGTATACGGATATACTTACCATCTGGTGTATCCAAACCATTACATTACGGGAGTCTCACATGAAATTGCCTAATTTTCAAGAATAAGGATCGATGTCCCGTGATTTATCCTTAGCTAAGCGACTACATCAGCATCTTCTTTCAAACTCTCAGCAGTTCGGTAGTAAAAAATGTTTGATATGTTCCTTCCATCATGCATTATTCTTATTTAATAAATTCGGTTATGTTTGGTTTGGCTTTTGGAGAAAGCCTTTGAGAAAATGCAAAGCACTTTAGGTTAAAGAGGTTTCTAAAAATACAAATAGTATTTGATAAAATGTAATTTAAAAGTGTATTGGGAAACAACTTTGATTAAAATAATGTTTGGAAAAATCACAAACTTTTGCTTTAAAAAAAAAAGAAACTAAGCTCAAACCCTTTGTTGGGCGTCGATGAGCCAAATCTGGCCAGATTTGGCAACGGCAACGTCGCCTAAGGTCACGAGACCTTAGGCCACCCTCTCGCTTGAGGTCATGCGACCTCGGCGAGGGTTGCCGATGCCAGATTTGGCTCAATGTCGCTCGGTGGAAAATGGTGAGGGCATTTCCGAAATTTCGAAAATTTAGTGAGAGCAAAATTTGAAAAAGAAATGTATTAGCATTTTTGAAACCCAAAACTTCCATGAATCTGCCTTGAACTAGAAGACTTTAAAAAGCTTTGGAAATGCAATTACATCTCCCCAAAGCTCTACAAAAAAATTACCAAAACCACTCAAAACGAGACAACTTAATCCTAGTGAAAATGAAGATTTCTAGCTTAATCGACTCGATAAAGCTTGATTGAGAAAATTGAAAAATATAGAGGACAGAACCATGCCAATGAAAAATTACAAACTTTGATTAAGTACACAAATTGTATGACAGAATATGGACTTATCTTTTGCTGACAAGAACAAACTACTGCACTCTTTTTTCTTTTGGGATAAGTGTATTGAAAGTCTTAACACTTATCATGAAAATATAATTGAATTCTAAAACTTTGAAAAAGCTCAATCAAGTCGTAAAACTTATCAAATTTGTACATTCAAGTCATTCCGTTGATTACACTTTTTAAAAGTTTTAGGATAGGATTGCACTTTCGTGATAAGTTTGAAGACTCGATTGTATTTTTTTGAAAGTTTTAGGATAGGATTGCACTTTCGTGATAAGTTTGAAGACTCGATTGTATTTTTTGAAAGTTTTAGGATAGGATTGCACTCTCGTCATAAGTTTTAAGATTTTCAGTGCACTTATCCTTTTTTTTGGTCATAAACTACGGTAATTATGGCAAAGCCTATTTTTTTGTGCAATTGCACCGGCGCTCATATTCATGTTTCATTATAATTTCTATAGCAAGTGGATATAGCTTAGCTATCCTTTGTAAATTTCACATTTTTCGCTGCCGATATGAGTAGTCAGTTACTTCCTAATAATTTAATCACTTATATCAACATGATAGATGCGAAATGTATAAAAGACTCATTGTAGATCCATCCTCTCGATCCCATACCTTCCTTTTTTGAAATCCATCATATAAAATTGCTACTTTTTTGTGGTATCAAACTTCAATGAGGAGTGCCTTATTTCTTAAAATTGTTATGAATATTCGTATTACAAGTACTTCATCTTATGTCACTAAGCCGTTTGGTTATGTGTATATGAACGGTTTTTTTTAATATTGAAAGTAAAACAAAACAAATGTTCAGATAGAAGCACGATTTGAATGGCTATGGATAAGATTGATCATTTTAAAAGCCAACATATTTCATTGTCTTCGAAAGCAAAACAAAGAAATTGTTTTTCAAAGTAAGAAAAGTCATTCTGATTATCTCTAATTTTATATTAATAGATGGAATCTTGGGGCACAATAAAAAATATAGAATAAAATTTGGAATCTGCAAAGGGCATTCCATTCCGGGGTGATCTATATATCTAGTTTTTTCCTTGTCTTTTTTTTTTTCTCAAGCGAAAAAATGAAAGCACCATTCTATTTCATATTATTTCACATTTTTATTTTTTATACAACCAAATGAAAAAATTCTTATTTGCCAACATGCATGCTGCCCCTGCTGGTAAAGGGATTGGAGGGATGAGGCCAGAGAGTACTAGGTCCGGGGCTCAATCTACGTGAGCACCGTACACACATATACATAGAAGAAAAAAGTGAGACCAAAAAAAAATTCTTGTTCCATTCCATTTTTACTTATACCAAACAAAGAAATCGAGATCCTCATATATTTCATTCCATCTATTACTTTTCTTTTTCATTTCATTCATTTTCAATTGAAATCGATTTACGTAAATAATTTTTTTTTGTCGGAATACCTAAATAACTTTTTTTGGATCCAATACGTAAATTATTTTCACTATTTCAATTATTTACGTATTTTTATAATTTCATCACCTAAATGACAAGATGAGTTTAAATATTACCTTTTCCACTGGCCAAAATAATAGTCTTTTTCTACTAATATGTTTTTTTTGTACCATGGGTGTAATAATCTAACATATAAAAAGTACCAAAGGATGACAGGAAAAATGGGGGAAAATTCCACATAAGGGTTCGAAGTTTCATCATTTTCTCAAATAAGGGCCTGAAGGGAATCTTATTTCAAATAAGGGCATGAAGTGCCCTTATTTTCTCAAATAAGGGTCTAAAGTGAATATTATTTCAAATAAAGGTCTGAAGTGGCCATGTCAGTTTCAATGAATGACCTGATCTCACCGGCTGGTCAAGGGCATTTTCATCTTTTGGTTTTTTTTTTTGGTCCTTTTTTCTTTCTTTTTTCCTTTTTTTTGTTTGTTCTTTTCATAAAAAAACAAACTCAAAAAGAAAAAAAAGACTAAAGTTAAAATAAAATAAAAAGAAACACACGGGCTCCGCTTGTGGCTGCTTCCCAATTGCCGGTGGGGAGGCAAAAATGGCTGGCAGGGTTGCCAGCGCCTCAGCAAGGGTCGGCGACCCTTGCCCAGATCTGGGAGAGGGTCGCCGACACCTCAGCGAGGTCGACAACCCTTACCTCGCACAAGTTTGGCGGCCTTCCCCTAGACCTAGGTGAGGGCTAGCGACCCTCGCCTAGATCTGAGAGAGGGTCGTCGCCCTCTTCTGGTTCTGGCGAGGGTTGCCGTCCCTTGCTAAGGCGTCGGCGACCCCACTGGCCATCGCCGCCGCCCCACCGATAATGGGGTGACGACCACAGGCAGGCAGTCTGGCAGCCAACCCTCCTGCTTGTATTTTTTCTTTTAAAAAAAAACTTTTACCTTTTTTAAAAATTTTAATCTAATTTAACTAAAATTTAGTTTAAATTATCTTTGGACGAAAATGCTATTGATCGACCGGAATTTGGCCGATCG